CCCCCAGTGGTTTTTGAGTTCTGATGGTAGCACGAACTAACATTACATTTTTATTTATATAGATTTATTTACAACATTTCTACCCCGCCCTTTTCAACCCCCGAGGAGGGACTCAGAGTAGCTAACAATGGCAACAATTTGATGCCGCAATATCACAGTATAACAAAAATACCATGAATACACAGTGGATTAAAAACAATAAAGTCACTTATACAGGCAATTAGCCATTTCCGTTATCATAACAATCATATGGTCCATTTTAATGTCCAAAGTGCCGTTGTGCCTGCTAGCCAAAAGCCTGGTTCCAAAATCATGATTTCAGTTTTTTCCTAAAGGAAAGGAGGGATTATCATTATTATTATTATTATTATTATTATTATTATTATTATTATTTCTTTTAAAGTAACCTTTCAGAGCTCTGATACAGGTTATTTTAGTGGTGTTGTGTAAATGTAATTTTTGCCTTCGGGCCACCTATTGACTTAGAGATTTCATATACGATTTTTTTTAGCAAGGAATACTTTCTCTGAAATATAGCAGACAGCACCTAGTATTTGTTGGCGGTCTCCCATCCAAGTGGTGTTATATCCAATCATTCTTGTCCTGAATGCCACTAGACTCTACAGCAGATACTTGCAAACTGCAGAATTTGAAAGCCATCCCAAGAGGGGTGCTTACCAGTCCATGCCAAGTGATTAACTGCAAACAGAGGATCATCAACAACATTATGCAGAGGTGTGCTTGTCCCATCTGTTTTGTGTCAGCTTGGGCCCAAGATTCATTAGACTTCAGGACAGCAACAGATTGTTTTTGCTCATGTACTCTAGAGGCCCTTTGGAAGGAGGATCAGAGCACAAAAATATCAACACTTACTCTAGTTTGTCTCTGGTTGTCATATGTGTCCTTATCAACGTAAATAGGAAGGTGAGTCCTGATAAATGCAAGAACCTTGGGATTAATTGTCTCTAACTACCTGATAAAAGGTAACACGACTGGGGTGGTGGTGGTGGGGAGACTGGGCTGCTCTAATTTAATTATGATTCATGGGTGTTTGAAGCATGTGCAAATAGTTTGGTTCACAAAAGACCTTCACTTGAGCCCTTTTGGCAGGACTGATTGCCTTCATCCGGTGCATCCATTAACGCGAATTACAGTTCATTATCAAGTCAAATGCCTTGCATTTACCCAAGTGTAATTTGTAATTTATGCCTGGGGACCTTTGGGATGAAAGACGTGTTTTCAGATACATCGTATGCATGCTTGATAATTTTTAATAGCTGGGAGCTCTGGCAAGCTATAAGTGGCCATGGCATTTTCCCGCCATGTATCTATACTTGTTTTCCCCTTGAAACCTTAAGTGATACAGCATAATTTACCATCTTGCTCGATGTGTGCTTTGGTTACACATAATGAGCTTCCCCTGCTGTTCACTTGGCAAAAGTGATTCACTAATTCAAAATTGTTTAGCCCCATTGAGACAGATTTTATACAGAAATTGCTTGGGAATTAGCTACCCCCCACCCACACACCACTTGAGTAAATTTTGATGCTCTGTCTGTTTGCAAGTATTCATAAATATATCAGCATGTTGGACAGGAAATGCATGTAAAATGTGGTATATGAAGCTTTTTCTGTGAAGCCTACTATGGTTACATTTGCCTAGATTTGGAGAAAGCAGGAAAAACGTATTTTCTTGAAAGTTAAAACAAATGCATCAAAGCATACTAGGTAATCTCAATTCTGGGCACCGCAATTTAAGGGAGATGTTGACAAGCTGGAATGTGTCCAGAGAAGTGTGACTAAAATGATCAAGGGTTTGGAGAACAAGCCATATGAGGAGCAGCTTAAAGAACTGGGCATGTTTAGCCTGAAGAAGAAAAGGTTGAGAGGAGACACAATGAGAGCCATGTATATGTGGGGGGAAGTCATAGGGAGGAGGGAGCAAGCTTGTTTTCTACTGCCCTGGAGACTAGGATGCGAAACAATGACTTAAAACTACAGGAAAGAAGATTCCACCTGAACATGAGGAAGAAATTCCCAACTATGAGAGCTGTTCAGCAGTGGAACTCTGCCCCAGAGTGTGGTGGAGGTTCCTTCTTTGGAGGCTTTTAAATGGAGGCTGGATGGTTATCTGTCGGGGGTGCTTTGAATGAGATTTTTCTGCTTCTTGGCAGAGGGTTGGACTGGATGACCTACGAGGTCTCTTCCAACTCTGCGATTCTATGATTGTGCCTGGGGATTTTAGCAACACAAAATGTAAGTGACCTGGAGCCCCCACAGTTGTTTTGGACTACAATTGCAATCAGTTTCTAAGATAGAGAACTGAAAAATTGGAAATTAGGTCACACTAATTGTTTGTCCATAAATGTTGCAACCCAGAGCAGGAAACTGGACCCTCAGACAACAATCCACCACACTTGGCTTCAGGAAAACAATCCTTTTTTATTGATGAAAGATGAATACAAAATAGAGGAAAAATGCAAAGGTAAAAAGCCACAGTAAAAATCAGCAACAAGAAATGTCCATAAACAAGATCATGAAACCTACAGCAAAACTGCTTAATCCTGGAACCTGTTAGCAAATAACTAACCGTACTTAGGGCAACTAGAAAACCTCTGAGGAACAAGGCTACTAGGGTCAGGAGACCTGTAAACGCTGGCACATGAATCTGGAATGATGCCTGGTCTGAAGCTGGATTCAGAACAGCCATATTTAAGGCCAAGAAATCTATTGCGAGACACGCCTGAAGATTTTGTTTGAATTTCTTTCAATCTGGCTGACCTGTGTAAACATTGGGCTTCTCCCCAAATCTGCCAAATCGGCCCCCGCCTATCCTCATTAGGCAGGCCAGGTGCCTGATTCTCTGGAGAGCTAAAACTGGGAGGAAAAGAGAGTGAACCGTCTCCACTTGGCTCAGAATGTATGTTCTCATGGGAATCTTGACTTTCGCTTTCCAAGGCTGTAGGATTTTCACTACTCAAACCATCATCGTCTAAATTGGCCTCAGAATTCACATTGACATCTACATGGGCATCAGGAAATACAATCAGAGAGTCAGAGTCAGGTTCAAGTTCACACACAGGCTAAACCCCAACAATAAAGGCCAGTACAGAAATCTGCAATAGTTTATTTATTTATTTACGACATTTATATGCCACCCTTCTCACCCCAGTGGGGACCCAGAATGGCTTACAAGATATATATACATACAATACATTATATTATTAGCATAGTACAATATCAGTATTATATATTACTATATTATACTATATTGTTATATTGTAATATTATTAGTAATATTACATGTAATATAAAATATATTAATATAATAACATATTAGTAGTAGTAGTATTATATTGTATTACATTATAATATTATAAATATTATATGTATATAAAATACGTTATATTACATTACATTACATTACAATACATTATTAGCATAGCACAGAAGACAAGTTTGGTTCCAGGACCCTTGTGGGTGCCAAAATCTGTGGATATTCAAGTCTCATATGTGGAAGAGTAAAATGGCATTCCATATCTAAAACAACTCAAATGTATGCTGGAAAGAGCCTACAGCCAGGTGTGCCTACATGTCAGCATAGTGACCGGCACACAGGAAAATCAAAGTTTGCTTTTAGGATTTTTTTTCTGAACATTTTCAAGCTCTGGTTGTTTGAATCTATGGGTGCATAACTGGTGAATACGGAGAGACAACTGTATTTACTCCTTAGTCTGATAGCTGCTTTCCAGAACTGCAGGCAGAATTCCTTCTTCTCATCTAGTTCCTCATCCCTTTTCAAACTGGAGATACCGGGAATTGAACATGAGTTCTTCTACAAGCAGAGGAAATGGAGAACTACCTGGCTACTTCATTGTGGATTGCCCTCTTCTTCTCCTGTGTTAGAAACAGGGTGAGGTTGCAATTCAAGGCATGCAAATCTAAGCATACATTTAGATCAGGACTCTTTCTATTTGTTAATTTCATTTGGTTCTATCTTAGCTGACAGTGGTACATTTCTGCATATATTTATTTAATTGTTTATTTACTGTATTTGTATACCGCCTTTCTCAGCCCGCAGGCAACTCAAGGTGGTTAACAGGGCAAAATTCAATGCTTACAATGTCTTACCTACAATTAAAAACATAACATATGATAAAAACTAAACAAATCAATAAAAAAATAAATTCATAGTGTCTCCTTCTTAAAAATATTGTCCGGACTCATTGTCTAGTCGTTCCATTTTCCTGTATGAGTTATTCTGCATTGGCAAACACTTGTTCAAAAAGCCACATCTTGACTTTTTTCCGGAATGTTAAAAGGGAGGTGGCCGATCTAATATCTATAGGGAGGGCGTTGCACAGCCAAGGGGCCACCACTGAGAAGGCCCTGTCTCTCGTTTCCGCCAAACGTACTTGTGACGAAGGCGGTAACGAGAGCAAGGCCTCCCCAGACAATCTTAAGGTCCTAGATCAGTGGTTCTCAACCTGGGGTCCCCAGATGTTTTTGGCCTACAACTCCCAGAAATCTCAGCCAGTTTATCAGCTGTTAGGATTTCTGGGAGTTGTAAGCCAAAAACATCTGGGGACCCCAGGTTGAGAACCACTGTCCTAGATGGTTCATAAGGGGAGATGTGTTCTGACATGTCAGTTGGGCCAGAACCGTTTAGGGCTTTATAGGCTAAAGTCAGCACTTTGAATTGTGCCCAGTAGCAAACTGGCAGCCAGTGGAGCTGGCACAACAGAGGAGTTGTACACTCCCTTAGCGCCGCTCCTGTTAGCAATCTGGCTGCCGTTCGTTGGACCATTTGAAGCTTCCGGATAGTCTTCAAAGGCAACCCCATGTAGCTTTAATGTTTATTGGTTTGCTTTATGAGTTTTATTGTTGTATTTGTTATGCTATTGTTTTATTGAGGGCCTTGGCCTTTGTAAGCCGCACCGAGTCCTTCAGGAGATGTTAAGGTAAAGGTAGTCCCCTGACATTAAGTCCAGTTATGTCTGACTCTGGGGTGTGGTGCTCATCTCCATTTCTAAGCCGAAGAGCCAGCGTTGTCCGTAGACACCTCCAAGGTCATGTGGCCAGCATGACTGCATGGAGCGCCGTTACCTTCCCGCCGGAGCAGTACCTATTGATCTACTCACATCTGCATGTTTTCGAACTGCTAGGTTGGCAGAAGCTAGGGCTGACAGCGGAAGCTCATGCCGAGATGTTAGCGGGGTACAAATAAAGATAATAATAATAATAATAATAATAATAATAATAATAACAACAACAACACGTTGCAGTAGTTTATACAGATAGAGTATCCCTTATCTGTTCTACAGTACAAAACTGCCTATATAAGGTGGCTGAGATAGTTGGTTTCTGATGGTTCAGTCTATGTAAACTTTGTTTCAGGCACAAAATAGTTAAAACTATTGTATAAAATGATTTTTGGGTGATAAACAAATATGTTTAGACTTCGGTCCTGTCTTTAAGATATCCAATTATGTATAGACAAATATTCCAAAAATCCGAAATACAGAACATTTCTGGTCACAAGCATTTTGGTTAAGGGGTACTCAACTTGTACTACTCAGCTGCGAACTGCTTTATGGACTGATCTGAGTACAATGTATTGTGGAAATGGAATAAAAAGATAAATTGACTATGACTATATTCACTGTACATCTGGTCCAGTAAGTTCCATAGACTGAACTTGTAACAGACTCAAATGATAAACCCAGGTGAATGATACCCCTGGATGTAGTAAGAGCAGAAGTATGAATGGGTTTCTCATCTCTCCTGCAACATAAGTGAGGATAAAAACCACCAATTCAGCCATCGGAATTTGTGGTTTTCCAGTGGCTGCACTTTTAAATGTCAGTGTTGATGCTCATGACCGGTTAGGGGTTTCCATTACTGTACATTGGAAAGTAAGTTGGCAATTTTTCTTTCCAGCCAAGGGAACCATTCTCCAGGTCATTATGCTCAAAGTAGACATTGGCCTGATTTGCACCACTGAATAAGAAGAAATCAAAGGGATGATATCTTTGCTGCCTCTGCTTTGCCCTTCATTGGAATTCAATCAGTTGAAGGATAGTATTTGTGCCAACCTAGTGTCCTCTTTTCTTGCAGGTGTAGGAGGTGTAGGAGGACAAACTAATCAGGACAATTGTAAGCAAGCCAAAGGAGACCATCAGTATAAAAATCCTGAATAGGCATTTCTGAAGCAATTATACAACAATATTTTGGTTGTGATTTTCATCTACAGTCACACTTGTCCCTTGTTCTCTGTCGTTGGTCAGGAGGTCTGAGGAGGTGGGACAGCTTCACTTCCTTAACCCCTTCACAATGGCTTAGAATTATAGTTGCACAGAGTTCTAAAGAGGTTTTTTGGACTGCAATTCCCAAATTCTCCTAACCGGCATGATCAGTGGATGTGAGATTCAGGCCAAGAGTTTGGAACTGGAGTTTCTAAACTACCAAGTAAGAAGAATCCACACAATGTAGTGCAGATGCTTATAACGAGCAGCCGAGTAGCAGTAGTGAGATTTTAAATTAATGTAATTTATGGACGGGGAAATATAGAAAAATAATCCCAACGCTGCTCAGCCAAATTATAACGATACACCATCACTACAGACTAGCTCACCAAAATATAGAGTGAGTATGGTTACTGAACCAACTGTATTTGTAAAGGTTAGGAACTGGAAACCACTGGAACTGAGAGACTTAAAATGATTCTTCAAAAGAGTTCCGCTGCCACCATATTAATAATAAACAGGCTGAGGTATTATTGAGAGGTTGTTCAGTAACATACTCTGTGTCACTATAGTTTTCTTAAAGGCTGTTAAAAGCTGACTTGAATAACCTTTGACTACAAAGGTATTCACACCGAGGCTGGTATAAATTGATAAAAATAACAAGAACGTTTATTGAACAGGCTTGAATAATTCAGGTACAAATGCTTAATGGTTTCAGTAAAATACTGGCATAAAAAGCTTGTGGTTGCCTGAGAGTAAAGATCTTAAAACTTCTGGGTTACAATCTTCACAGTTACAACACAGAAAATTACTTCAGGAAATGAATCTCTGAAAGTAACTCCCAAAAATCCCCCTTAGGAATCTAGCCAAAAACCCTGAACTAGACTTCCTTAGGAAACGAACAGACCACTAACGGAGTGCTGTTCCACACAGTATTCTAGCTATATTCTCAATAGCTATTCTGAATACTACACAAACGACAAACTGCTCTCGCTAACACCCACATGTCTTCTCTCTACCCTTTCCAACCTCCAACTGGCAAACTGGGACCTCAAACCTCAGTTTAAAAGCCACTTTTTTCCTTTCGATCACGTAGGCTCCGTCCCCATCTTTCTAACCAATCCTAGCCTTCTGATTTTCCCTCTTAGACTTGAACACGCCTTGAGTCCTTCCTCTCCAACACTTCGATGGTAGAAATGGGGTAGAGACACAATTCAGTACCCCTCATGCAGCATTAATTGCATGAGGCAGAACACTTAATATACAGGGTTAGTCAAAATGAATAGGCCAATAAGAAAATTAATTTTAGACGAATGTATGTTTACTGTAACCAAACCACAGCTACGTAGCGACAGATAAACTATCAAAGTTTTTTTTGAGCAACACACATGTACGTTAATGCCGCTAGGCGTCGCTAGGGGTCGCTGTTTTCAAAATGGCGGAATCAAGCAAAGAGAAGGCGTTTTGTGTGATGACATTTGCTAAAACAATGTCAGTAATTACGGTCCAGCGAGAATTTCAAGGGTTAGGGTTAGGGTTAGGGTTAGGGTTAGGGTTAGGACCTCAACGAACACCTTCCCAGACGTTGCTGCATTCGATGCCATTACGTCGGATGTGCTGCAACGGATGTGGAATGAACTGGACTATCGCTTGGACATCTGCCGTGTCACACGGGGCGCCCATATCGAACATCTCTGAAGGTGAGACAAAACTTTGATAGTTTATCTGTCGCTACGTAGCTGTAGTTTGGTTACAATAAACATACATTCGTCTAAAATTAATTTTCTTATTGGCCTATTCATTTTGACTAACCCTGTATAACCATAACTATAACTGTACAATTTTGTTTGTGTATTTGAAATAATGTAGATGATAAGTAGATGAAGAATAACAGTAAGGTCATCTTTAATTTATTCTCTGGATATAGAGAAATTTGTTTTATTTATTTCTCTCTTTAATGAGAAAAAAGGCTAATTAAATCTTGAATTTGTCCTCCTGTTCGACATTAAACATATTCCATTTATTACACTGGAATTATCCCAGGCAGATTTGTTTATGAAGGTACTTAGCCGTCTTTGGACATTTTAGATTTTCACTTACAAATAATCCTTGAAATTGCAAAGATTATTACGAAAGCTCTTCATTGCTTGCTCTCATTGCGTTAGGGATTACTTCTTTCTTTGTGGGGTCCAGCAAGAACAAAATGGATTTTGTTTATCATTTCTCATTTCCTTTATTATTCCTTGGGTGATGGGGTGAAATTTTCTCCGCCAAGGATAATGAGGGTGAGATGGGAATTTTTCTTCAAATGGATTTGTGAGAATATACACAATAAATAACATATATTGTGCTTATTGTCTCAATAGAGTTGTTTATTTTATTTATTGTGTTAGGAGCGAACCAAAACAGTTGTATTGCAATAGAGTTGATTTGTTATTATCTTTGACACATAGTTTTTTATTTGGATTAAAAAGTTTGACATTGACTGTAGGGTGCACATGCTGAAATAATTGTTTGGAATCATACCTTCATGTGTATATATGTCAACCAAGTCCACAATCCACTGTGTTGAACAAAACACATTCAAGTACAGGCAGTCTCCCAAGTTATGAACAAGACAGGTTCTAAAGGTTTGTTCTTAAGTTGAATTTGTTTGTAAATCAGAACAGATACATTTTTAAGTGTAACTCCAGCCATAAGTGAAAATATGTATGTGACTGGGGTGTCGACTTACATAGAAAAGCTCATGTGCCAACAAACAGCTATAGCTCCCACTACTCAGGAGACACCAATGGCCCTCCCTCCAATGAAATTGCAGGTTAAGTGAGCACCATGAAAATGTACAAGAGCCCTCCCAAACACCATACTGTCCACCACCACAGTGAAGGCCTTCATATGAGAACAATTTCACCCTAGATTTTCTGTTTTTCCTCCACCACAGACATCCCAGTGTTTCTGGCTCTCTCCATTGGTATAGATTCTGCCCACTGCCCCTCTCTTAAACCTTTCTGATTGTTTTCTATGGCACACAACAAAGAGACTTAAAATGGTTCTTCAAAAGATTTCCGCTGCCACCATATTAATAATAAACAGGCTGAGATATTATTGAGAGGTTGTTCAGCAAGTGAACATACTACAGAGGTTTGGGGAGAATTCACCATGATTTATAGGAGTTGTAGGTATTCCTACAGGCAGTCCCCATGATAACTCTTCCAGGAGTGAATTTCCCATCTGAGGGGTATATTTATCTCACTTCTTGTTATCTCACCTCCATTCTTAACTATGAGTCATATGTAAATTGGATGTTTATAACCCGGGGACTGCTTCTATATTGAAATTACTTAGACAGCATAGATCTAAGAATTAACAAGTTAATGATTTGTGGATTCTGAGAGCTGTGATCCTTAAAAAGAACATGTTCATGGTCTGAGTCAGGGGTAGGGAACCTTTGGCCCTCCAGCTGTGGTGGACTTCAACTCCCACAATTCCTTGAGGCTCGGCATTCGCCCCAAAGGCTTACCTTGGCCCAATGCCGAGCCTCAAGGAATTGTGGGAGTTGAAGTCCAGCACAGCTGGAGGGCCAAAGGTTCCCTACCCCTGGTCTGAGTATACTTTCCACCTTTGTCATTCAGGCAACCACAAAGGAAAGCTTTCTATCAAGGTATTGTCGAAGGCTTTCATGGCCAAAATCACTGGGTTGTTGTAGGTTTTTTCGGGCTATATGGCCATGTTCTAGAGGCATTCTCTCCTGACGTTTCGCCTGCGTCTCTGGCAAGCATCCTCAGAGGTATTGAGGTCTGTTGGAACTAGGAAAATTGGGTTTATATATCTGTGGAATGACCAGGGTCAGACAAAGAACTCTTGTCTGTTGGAGCTAGGTGTGAATATTTCAGCTGACCACCTTGATTAGCATTTGATGGCCT